CCACAGGGCAGACCGAGGACCAGGTGGAGAGATTATATCTCCACACTGGCCTGGGAACACCTCGGGATCCCCCAGTCAGAGTTGGCCCATGCGGTCAGGGAAAGGGAAGTTTGGGGTCCTCTGCTGGACCTGCTACCCCCGCGACCCGATCCCGGATAAGCGGATGAAGATGATGATGATGATGATGACTAATGCATAGTTAAGTACATCGATTCGGGTGGTTTTAGGAATATATTCAGGGTCACAGAGTAGTGTGATGCCTGGTTACAAGATGTATCAAGTCACTGAGAATCCACGCAGCAGTCACTGACCTCCCAGTGGACAGAGTAGGTGAAGAGGACCTCGTTCTCCTTGGTCGGATCAATCTCCTGGGGGGCAGAGCCACTAGCCTCAGGCAGCGTGCAAGTCCCTTTTTCCCCAGCCTTCAGATCTGACAATAAATACAGAGTATTATAGGATTTTTTGATTTTCCTGGTAAAGGTAGACAGAGAAATCTTTAGCCAAATAATCATCAACTCACTACACGGACGTTGAATATTTTCTAAAAAGGGATGGAGAAGATCAAACAAACTATTTTAAATTGTATTTACAAGCTATAGGAACATCTTAATTCTAGACCTGGAGAGAAAGAGTAAGAGAGAGTTTCAGCTCAGGAGGGAGAGAAGGAGAAGAGCTGTACAGCATGCATGGGAATGAATATAACATCTCTGAACAAGTAGCTAAATCGCTAAGGGCGGATTCAGACCAAATCAGACCCTTCCCATTCATTTTGAATGGGGGTGGTGTGTTGCGGGAGGAGCGACCTGCAGCGGAGAAGTTCTCAAACAGAATACATTTTTGGAGAAACGCAACCCGATGCACGCAGTGGCCAATCCGGTGACCAGCCTGAATAAATAAATCTGACTAATGGTTGAACTGTATCACTTTCTCTCCGCTCTGCTGCCAGTACCTTCAGGCTCGCTAGGCTGAGGGGGCCGGGGTTATGTGCCCTAGTTGACAGAAATCTGTCGCACCGATAGAAAACTTTAATCCCATGTGTCCTCCTTGCTTTTACTACTAATACTTTTAGTCACCATGGATCAGAAACAATTCACAACCTAAAGCTAGTGTGTTGACACCTACCATCTACTTTAACACTCTGGGGTATGACCTCAAATCGCACCACCCTGTAGTTGTGAACGTCCCCCTCCTCCAGCTTCTCCCTGTGGAAGTACAGGATGAAGGACAGATGGTTGTGCAGATAAAACTGTGAGAGAAAAAAAGAGAAAGGGCATGACAGGAATTAGCACCCTTCAAAAATACAATCAGACTTTTCATTTTAGTCTTCCTTAAATATAAATGTGCATATCATCCAAAAAGGACTTATTTCTAGTACTGCTGGTGCATCCTGTTGTGCTGGTTACGTGCACTCATTGTTTTATGGCTGAAAAACGCTTTCAGTAATATATTTAATAAAATCAGATCTCAGGTGTGGGTGCTGTTTCAACTGGCAACAAAGATAACAACCCTATAACTTTCATCAGATTTTGATTCAAATATTGCCAAAAACCTGACTGGTACACAAAAAACATGGCAGACATGAGAGCAAAAATCTTTTAGTTTTTAGTAGAAAATGTAGTGTTCATGTAGGACTCCATCTCTCATAAAAAGCTGATCACTAAAGGCAAAATAATGCAAAGAGAAAGTGCAAAATAGTATTATATAACTAAAGTCTACTGACCACCTTGCTTCAGGACAGACATTTACAACATGTACCTTGTTGCTGTCGACAAAGCCCAGTCTGTAGCCATGTTCAAACTGGATATCTTTCACCACGTCCTTCTTCTGCTCCTCCTCCCCTCCTGCCTCTCTGTTGGGGTAAAACTCTAACCTGGTGGCAACTGGCAGGTTGTCTGCAATACTGAGAGACAAAGGGAGGTGTTCAATTAATTTTGCATTTTGAACATTTAAAAAAAATCTAAATGCAAGAGAGGTTAATGAATAGACAAAGACAAATTATCTTCCAACTACAACTATAAAATGTATCTTTGGCAAAACAGTAAGGAAGGGCTGCTCACAGGTGAACGTAATATTCCTCCTGGATTCGCTCAGCAACCAGCTTGCTTTCTTCTACACTGAGCTTTTTCTTGTCACACACCGTCTCGCATTTCTTGTCCTTGTTCATCTCAACATTGTAGCGGGTATTCACAATGCGGTCGCCACGTAACACCTCACCTACAAAGAAGAACAATAAAATAAAGTTTACATAAAAACAGACCAAATTTGTATTTTAAAAAAAGCAAACTGTAAGATAGCATTGCTTTTCATGAAATTGGATGACATCAAATAAATTCAGACAAACTCAGCAGCACTTACCCAGGTTCTCTCCCTTGTAGAAAACAGATTCGGGCTTACAGTAAGGCAGGGAGTAGTATTCATAAGGAAGCTGGGTACGGGAGCTGGTCAGCTTCACTGCCTGAAAAACAAATACTAAATACTGTAAATAACTGAAATTATGTGAGCCCTACACCCCAAACAAATAAGTCCAAGGTTTAACTCTGGACTGAGACCCATCTCTTCAGGTCATCCCGGTACGGACCAGTTCCACCTATCGGACTCTGTTGTGCTTTGTTTTTGGTGTGAAAACAAAGTAGACCACAGATATCAGATTTTAACCTGAATTCAAACTACTAGTAAATATGTGAGCTGATCATGGGAACTGTCAAGCAGAAATTGGAACCAAAGGGGAGAGTATCAAGTGTTGAAATTCATACAGCAACATTTCACTATCCTAACACTTGTGGATTGATGTGTAGCTCGACCCACAATGTGCAGGCTGGGCGGGTTCACTTACTAGAAAATATTAAGGGCATGGGCAGGTCAAGCGATAAAGCAATGTTCAGAGTAAGTTATTAAAAAAACTTACAGAAACATCACATTCAATAGTCCACCTTCTGTGCCCCCTTTCACTCTGTCTCAAATACAGAATGATGCAGAGCACGCAGACAAACACTTTTGCACCGATCAGTGCTCGAAGCAAGTCAAAACAGAATATATCCAGGAACTGTGAACTCCATTTTCTATACCGTGCAACCAAACAGTAGGCTAAAAAAAGACTGTATGGACCTACACATTTTGTTAGAATTCCCTAAAATGTGCAGGATACATTGAGTAGTAGTAGTAGTAGAAGTAAAGGAGGGTTACTTGTTTTTCTGGTGTTAAATAAAAATAAAGAACACTTTTGGAACAGTTAATCTGTTTGTTAAGCCTAGATATTCCCAGAGAGCGCTGTGGACAGCCCCTTGGAGAGGCCCAGACTTTTGTTTTTAAAAGATTCTTTTTTGGGCCTTTATTGCAGATATTAGATAGTAGCAGCAGTAGAGTGACTTGCAGCAAGGGGCCGCAGCCCTCAGCCTCTGTACATGCACACTCTCCACAAGGTGAGCCACGGCGGTGCCCTGGGAGAGGCTCAGTCCTGACAGTTGTGCTATTATAATGCATAAAGTTGGTGGTTTGGACGTCAGGTGTCTTACTTACTGGGGAGAAATGGTTGTTGATGTACATTTTTATCATCGTTTTTCAAATTTACACAGGATCTAATGAATTTCTGTCTTACCTTAATGTCTACTGTATCACCCTCATGGAAGTCCCGGGGAGCGACTCCGGGAACATAGAAGGGCCAGACCACAGGCAACAAGGACAACAGCAGCAAGGCCCACCATGTCTCCTGCAACACAGGCCAAATATCTTACGCCACAAACAGTATGGAACAGGTATATATGAGACCTGATCTAATCTCACCATGCCACATTAAGCCACAAGAGACAAACACTGGGAATTAGTGACAGAGCTGCAGACTGTGCTGAGCTTCAGGTTATGACGGACAGAGAAGGACAGTTGCTGTGTGCTCACATATCTCTTGCAAGAAATGCCTTCAGGCAGAACAAACTTGAGACTACTTCTTAACAATTCTCTTTCATGATGTAACTCAAACATGTCAAAGCTTTGTCACATCCAAATGGATTATACAGTAAAGGACGCCTGGCCCTGCTCCAACACTGAACCTAAACACTTCAGTAAATAGCCACGTTTACCCAGAAACATAATCAGGGCTTCAACATATTGAATGTACTCTGCCTAGCAAATAAAAATACTATGTCATAGTAATATATTAGTACAGTGATGGAGGGGATCTATTCAAGTCAATAAAAAAAAAGGGTTTCCACTATTTATTATGATTTTTTAAATGACAATATAGGAGAGCAGCTGCTCACAAACAGTCGTATCATTAATCAGTAGGTCTATTATTCAGTACTCTCAGGTTCATAACAGGTAGGTGGCCACTGTTATGAGACACTCCGCTTTAATTAGATTAATTCACAATTTCTTCCGCATTTGTAACATAACATGACTTTCGTCACAGCCCATAAATAAGTTCAAATTAAGTAGAATTTATTTTATTTTACATAAAATTCATTCATCAGAATGTACAATTAACATCGCTGTGTGTGTATTTATTAACAGGAGGATTTTTCCTTTGGGCTTGTGGCTCCAGAAAACACCCTGTAGTGTCATAATGCGCAGATTATACTTCCAACAGTCGAGTTTCACACAAAGTTCACACCCTGATTCAGAATTTTCAATTATTCTGATTCTATATTTTCCAGGACAACATAGATTATTTCCAGGATATTTAGTCATTTGAATCCATTTTCAGCTGTTTCCATGACTTGAAAACTACTCTTCAAATGTTTAGGTTGTCCATGTTTTCCAGGACACACGGGAACCCTGAAAATAACTACATCACCCCAGTCAAAGCAACATTCTGAAGCACACAGTTCTCCACATGCCTTCTGAGAAAGTGGCTACATTCAGCATGAGAACTGATTTATTCAGAGATTATTTAACATGCATTATTCCAGCAAGACAGCTTGACAGTAATGACCAGAGGCCTCATTTATAAAACTCATCCTAAAACACTACGTACTCACAAACCTCACATCTACTTGTGCAAGAAAATATTCAGATCTATCAAACCTAAATACTAAATACGCAGCGGCAGTGAACTGTGCATGTGGCATACACCTGACTCATCAGCCATAACTTATTTTAGTGAGAAATCTCTCTCACGTAAATAGACTGCATGAATACAGCGCTTTGATTCAAATCACTTTACAATGTATCTGTCATTCACCATTTCACACACACACCAATGGCAGCGACCTACCATACAGGGCACTGGCCTGGCTATGGGGAGAAACCTGGGGTTCAGTGTCTTACTCAAGGACACTTAGACTGGAGAAAGGCTGCACGATATGTTGGGGGAAAATGTAAATCATAATAATATTAAAATAACTCTACTCTATAAGACATTGCTTGGGCTCTGTGTACCAAACAAACAGGTTTTCCTACATGTGGAGAACAAAATTTGCAGGCCAGGGCAGATCATACTCGGTATCAAACTTTGACCCCTTCTACGCAGCCACAGCCACCCAAATTTGTGGCAGAACAGGTCTTACACCAAAATCTGTGACGAGCCCCAATATTCCTGGCCTGACATCTCACTCGTCATGCCTGAACCTAACCCTGCACCTGACACAATCCCGAACTGCTGTTCTGTCACATTCCTCATGCAACTTGACAGAGCTTATACAGTTGAGACAGTGAAGATGAATGCTGGGGAAAAACTGGAGTGTCCTGATATGTAAAGCTGATACAGACCTGCCTGACCTAACAGTGTCAATTAAGGCTGTAGTTTCTGCCATGGGTGTCTCTTATTTGTATGGTTTACTTGTTGATTTACTGTTATTATTGGGTCTTTGAAGCTGTAGTAGGTAATTTTTATGAAAATATTTTTTTCAGCTCTGATTGGTTGTT